TAAGGAGATAACATGGTACTATGTGGACAGAATTTACTTCTTTGAGAAGGTCATAAAAACTGGGCATGGTAATCCAGGAAGCTCAGGAGGCTGATGCAGGAGGATCACAAGTTCAAGGCCAGCCTCAGCAATTTAGGGATACCTTGTCTCAAAATAAAAAACAAAAGGGGTTGGGGTGTAGCTCAGTGGTTAAGCATCCCTGTATTAAATCCTCAGTACAAAAAAAAAAAAAAAAAGGCCATGGAAGACTTCTCTGAGAAAATAATAACTGAGATCTGAGAACCAAGAAGGGACAGGGGCATAGGGAGCTGGGAGGGGGCAGTGCTTTGAAAGCAAGAGTAGAAAATGTCATACTACGGCCTTTAGTCTTATAGTCTTACAGTGCGGGGCAAAGGTAACGGTCTTTTGCAGGAATAGTGGTAGCTGAGAGAAAATAGGTAAAATTACAATCCTGAGATTAACCTGGAAATCCTCTTGTAATATAAACACTGATTTCCTTTCCTTCTGTACATTAGAATCACTCTCTGTTAGTCTTTTGGGAAAGGGAGACACAAAGGTACAGAAATCTTTTTGTATTTTTCTTTCAATGCTGGTGATTGAACCCACATCCATACACAAGGGTAAGGAAGTGCTCTACCACTGAGCTACATCCTCAGCTTTTTTTTTTTCTATGTATTTTTTTTTTAATATTTTATTTCTTAGTTTTCGGCAGACACAACATCTTTCTTTGCATGTGGTGCTGAGGATCGAACCCGGGCTGCACCATGCCAGACGGGCTCGATACAGCTTGAGACACATCCCCAGCCCTTTTTTATGTATTTTTATGTGGTGCTGAGGATCAAACCTAGTGCCTCACACGAGCTAGGCAAGCACTCTACCACAGAGCCACAAACCCAGCCCCATTCTCAGCCTTTTTAATTTTTTAATTTTGAGGCAGAGTATCACTAAATTTCCTAGGCTTTCCTCCAATTTGTGATCATCCTGCCTCAGGCTCCCTAGTAGGTGGGTTTACAGGGGTGTACCAGCATGTCCAAAGGCACATAAATCTAAGGTGAATGCTGTTAAGTTTTAGAGGAAATATTACAGTATTTATTAATAACAATTAACCATGGTATAAGTTGATACAGAAACAGGAAATTTAAAATTTACTTTTGTGATAAAGGAAAAAGAAAACCATAGTTAGTTTTACGATCCATTTCCCTATTTATTAAAATAATGTTAAATACACACTGTATAATAGTAAAGCACAGTATGAGCAAGAATGTCACAGTAGAAAGAGCACATGTCCTAGAGCAGTATGCTTTGACTTAGCATCACAGATTTTACTAGCAGTTCAATTTTTCTAGCTCAACTCAGAAACAAGAACCTGTAATCTTTCAGAATATTGCACTTAAATATTGTCCATTTCTACTTTTCCAAAAGTACTGCATCACTTTTTAAAAATATGTTTTAGTTGTCAATGAACCTTTATTTTTACTTATTTATATGTGGTGCTGAGGATCAAATCCAGTGCCTCACACATCTAGGCAAGTGCTCTACCACTGAGCTATAACCCCAGCCCAGTACTGTATCACTTTAAGTAATGGCGTCTGTGTCCTTTTAGTCCTGAAAGCTCAGTTACAGGAGACCTTCAAATGATAGGAAATTCACACTGTGTTGGTAGACATAGGATCCGGGTCTTAGTCATGCTATGTTAATTCTGTAATTACACTATGATGTAATTTATTTTTTTATGGTTTATTTTTTGGTTTAGGTACTGGGGATTAAACACAGGGGTGCTTTACCACTGAGCTACATCCCAGCACTTTTTTTATTTTGAGACAGGGTCTCACTAGATTGCTTAGGAGTAAGTTGCTGAGGCTGGCCTCAAACTTGAAATCCTCCTGCCTCATTCTACCAAGACACTGGGATTCCATGCGTGTGCCACCATGCCTTGCTTCTAATTTCTTTTTATTACTATAATTTTCTTTAAACATTTTTTTAGTTGTAGATGGACACGATACCTTTATTTAATTTATTTATTTATGTGGTGCTGGGAAACGAACCCAGGAATTCACACTTGTGAGGCAAGCGCTCTACCACTGAGCCACAACCCTAGCTCTCTAATTTCTTTTTATATGTTTATTTTTTCTTCCTTATTCTGATGATGTGATTTCTGATGTTTGGTATGATATTTCATACTTGTCAAAATGGAGTTTTCTTTTTTTGTTCAGATGACTAAAATGTTAGCTTTCCATGTTTATTTGATGCTATGAAGTCTAACTCTTTATACAAAAGGGGGGAAGGTCAAGTTGTCCCATTGGTTTTACTGATGGAATTTCACCCTTTAGAACTCAAGAGTCACTTGGAGCAGGATTCATCGCCCAGCTCTGGCATGCCCATAGTCTCTGCTACTCAGAATCCGAGGCAGGAGGATCCCTTGGTCCAGGAGTTGAGACCAGACTGGGCAACATGGCAAGACCTCATTTCAAACCAAAATAAATTTTGCTTTGTCATTTATTCTGTTACTTTGGGCAACTGCTTTATGTTCTCAGAATTTTAGTATCCTTATCTATAAAATGGGGATAATTTATTTCTTGAGCTATTTTAGAGCTATTTGTGGATTAGAGCACATAAGGTACAAACCATGGAGAATATTGTGGTATAGAGGACAAAATGGACTGTTATGAAATCACAGTGGTATTTGCACATTTATTTTCCTGTAAATATGAGATATACTGGGATACTTGATATAGTTGCAGTCATGTGGAAACTGATCTATGAGGCAGATAAGAGAAATAGACACTATCTTAGTCCCTTCACGCTGAGACTGGATAACTTATAAACAATAGAAATATATTTCCTACAGTTTGGAGGCTGGGACGTCCCAGATCAAGGCACTAGCAGGTTTGGTGTCTGGCAAGGGTCCAGCAGCTGTTTCCAGGATGGCACCTTCTTGCTGCATTCCAGGGGATGAATGCGTGTCTATCCCCCCCACCATCCACCCAATCATGACAGAAGAGACAAAAGACTAAAGAGGACCTCACTAATTTCATCCTTTTGTAAGGTTGCTATCACATTCATGAGGCCTCTGCCCTCAACGCTTAATCACTTCCTAAAGACCCTACCTCTTAATATTGATTAAACTTGTAGGTTCAAACAGCAACTCTTTATTCCCGAACTCTCAGCGGCACTCTACACACACTTCTGGGGAACACACTCCCTCCACTTGGCTCCAAGTGCGCCAATTCTCCCAGAACCCCGCGAGAAGTCAACTGAAACTCCAAAGTATGGGCACCCGAGGCAGCAGGATCTGCCCTAATCCCAGCAGGATGTGCCCTAATCCCAGAGCTGCCCTATTCCCCCCCCCAGGACCACCCTAATCCCAGAGCAGGGTCACCTTTCAACCATTCCCTCTGGCAAATGCCAGGCATCATTCCGACTAAACTGTGGCTCTCAACATCTCCCCCCTTCTATTTAATTAAACAACAAGCATGTGGCTTAGGGACCCTGCCTGTTAGGTTGTCCAATACTACATATGGTTCTTACCTGTCATCGGATGAGCTGACCTCTAGGCATCAGCCTCCTGTCTTGGGTTGGTACCACTGCAATTGGATCTTACCCGTCACTGACTACCGGTCCAGCATACAGCCATACTTGTGGATAGGCCTTTGCACCAGTGTGTGTGTGGGGGTGAGGTTCTTTGCCTCACCTCTGTTGGCCCCCAAATTTGGCCTTGGTACCAGTGGCAGGGTGAGGTTCTTTGCCTCACCTCTGTTGGCCCCCAAATTTTAGACCATCATAAGCAGAAAGGGAGGAGGATGCAAAATGCCATGGCACCAAGCCAAATGAAGGCTCTTTTTGGAAAAATTGTACCACCGATGACACCATCAGCAAAGATACCCCAGCAATACCACAATTCGCTGCACCATCAGATAGTTCACAATGCATGCAAGTGATACATAGTCCAGGCAAGTTCTGCAAACAGTTCAAAGCAGAGGAATCTATTAATATGTCCATTTCCTCCCAAAGTAAATTGACTCCTTGATTGAGCATCACTTGCTGAGTTATTATTCATTGATGCATCAGTTTATACAATTTGTTGTGATAGCTATCGCAGAAGCTGTAGTTTGGTTTTATCTTTGTCTTCACCAGCACTGGGATGAAGATAGGAATTCTGGCAATGATGGCTAAGAAAAATTATGTAACATTCCAGCAGGCACTAAAAGAAAGCAATTTTCTAAACAATTTACATAGTCCTGAACAGAATTATTAAATATAATGAAAAGGAAAGGTAAAAGTAAACAAACAGATCTGTTAACCTCCTTTTTTGTTCACATATTAAAATAATCCTCAACAGCTGTTTACCCAATTTAAATTAAACCATTTAAATCACGTGAATAAAAAAAATATTCGGATCCATTTTTTCATGAGCACTCCTCATATATATGGACATACGCACATACAGACATACAACACAAAACAGAAGTGTGCACACATAACATACAACACATAAGACAATAGTAAAGTCCTTGTAGCTTTACATAGGTGAAATCTCCATTGCAATATTTAAAAACTCCACAGTCAAAAAATAGAACTGAGGGCTGGGGATGTGGCTCAAGCAGTAGCGCGCTCGCCTGGCATGCGGCGTGCGGCCCGGGTTTGATCCTCAGCACCACATACAAACAAAGATGTTGTGTCTGCCGAAAACTAAAAAATAAATATTAAAAAATTCTCTCTCAAAAAATTAAAAATAAAAATAAATAAAATTGAACACCTCCATACCTGTGCATGAGTACAGGAATATCTTTCTCTAAAAAAAAAAAAAAAATAGAACTGATCAGAAAAAAATTAACCTAGGTCTGTATGAGCTCAAAAAATAAAATAAAACTTCATAATGTGGGAAAAGGCAATAATAAAATAGATATTGAAAAAAAAGTGTCCTGGTTACCACCTGGGTTTGACTCTTCTTTGGATATCCCATCCTTTTTCCTGTAACTTGCATAATGGGTCTGAAGGTATTCCCACAAGCAAGCCCCAAAGTTTTTTACATTTGAAATACGCTTTAATGGTGTTCATTATTCATTAGCCTCCAGGTGTGGAAGAACCACTGTCGAAGATGTAAGGATATCAGCTGTTATGGATTTGAGCCAAGTCATCTTCTTTTTGGTCTGCAGAAATCGATTCAGTTAGTCTCTCTGGAATCCAAATCAGCTGCTGTTCTCCCTCCAAGCTTCAGGCTTTCCCCGTATGGGCCAACAGCAACTCTTTATTCCCGAACTGAACTCTCACCGGCACTCTACATACACTTCCCAGGAACACACTCCCTCCACCGGAATCCGCTCGCCAATTCTTCCAGAACCCCACGAGAACTCAACGGGAACTCCAAAGTAGTGGGCGCCCAAGGCAGCAGGATCCCTTGATTAAACTTTTTAAAAAAAAAAAATTATTATTTTTTAGTTGTAGTTAGACACAATAACTTTATTTATTTTTATGTGGTGCTGAGGATCGAACCCAGGGTCTTGCACATGTGATGTAAGCGCTCTACCGCTGAGCCCCAGCCCCAGCCCTTGGTTAAACTTTTGACATAAATTTTGGGCGATACATTCAGATCACAGCAGATATATTGTAGAAAATAATTCATAGGGCGGGGTTGTGGCTCAGAGGGAGAGCACTTGCCTAGCAAGTGTGAGGCACTGGGTTCCATCCTCAGCATTACACGAAAATAATGTAGTTGTCTACCTACAATTAAAAAAAATACATGTTTACAAAAAGAGTTCATAAATTGCTCATCACTATTATAGTTCACTTCTGGTGACTTTTTCAACTTTTTATTTTAAAAATTGCAATCAATACCTAATTACTTAGGGCTTGATAATCTAGTTTTGGACTATTTAACTCAAAAACCTTAATTTCTTCTGTGTAATAGTAAAAACCAAAAAAAAGAAAATTATTTCTTACGGAGATTAAATCATCTTTGTGTTCCCTAGAGTAGTCAGCACATAGTATAGATTAAATATAAAATTAATTTTGACACTTTCAGAAAATCAAATTTTGTTTTTAATATTTTTTAGTTGTAGATGGACATATACCTTTATTTTATTTATTTATCTTTATGTGGTGCTAAAGATCGAACCCAGTACTTCATATCTGCTAGGCAAGTACTCTACCACTGAGCTACAAGCCCAGCCCCTCAGGTTTTAAAAATCTTGGTTAAGACTAAAAATAAAAATGAGACTCTGAGCTCTGTTATTTTGTTTTAACACGGTCACCACCCCTAGCCTTTTCACAATTTTGTTTTGACTATGACAAAGAAAGCAAATCAAATGCTTAGAACAGGGTTGAACAGAACATAGATTCTTTTTTTTTTTAAGAGAATTTTAACATTTATTTTTTAGTTTTTGGTGGACACAACATCTTTGTTTCTATGTGGTGCTGAGGATCGAACCTGGGCCGCACGAATGCCAGGCGAGCGTGCTACCGCTTGAGCCGCATCCCCAGCCCCAGAACATAGATTCTTATTCAGGCTAATGTTAAGTATGACCTTAATTAGTAGAAGAATAAAACTAAGTCCAAAATACTTATGTTTTACATATCCTGTGAGAGAAGCAAAAAAGAGGGATGATTCCAGACTTCAAGGATTTTATAAACTTGTAAAATCAGATTATAATTTGCACATTAACTATCTTAAAGAAACCTGAAAGTGGACAGGAAAAGGTATAGATTATGCATAGTACCCTACTGTGGATGAGGAGGGTTACTGAGTATTGAACCAGGGGTGTTATATCCCCAATTTTATATTTGAGACAGGGTTTTATTAAGTTACTGAGGGTCTCAGTAAATTGCTGAGGCTGGCCTCAAACTTGAGATTCCCCCTGCTTCAGTCTCCCCAAGTAGTTGGTATTATAGGTGAGTGTCACTACACCCAGCCCACCTATCATTTTCTCAAAGGTGATTATAATATAGTGAAATGATAATTACAATGATTTGTTGGAAATAAAATTCAAAACTCATTTCTTTCAGATTTTATTCTAGCCTCTGCAAATAACTAGTTATATGGATTTAGGCAACTTACAATTTTTGTTAGTTTAGGGTTTTTTTGGGGTGGGGTGGCAGGTGCAGCAGTGTAACGGTGCCAGGGATTGAACCCAAGGCCCAAGGCCACTTTACCACAGAGCTATATCCCAGCCCTTTTTATTTTGGAACAGGGCCTCACTAAGTTGCTGAAATTGGCTTTGAACTTGTGATCCTCCTACCTCAGCCTCCCAAGTCGCTGGGATTACAGGCCTGTCATACCTGCTGCATCCTTTGAGTGTCTTAAAGTCCATGGGCAATCATTAGCACTTGACCAATGTTCATACTTATTGTTGCTTAAAGACATTTATTAGATTGAAAACAATCAAAATGGACATCAATATGAAACAGGTCTAATTAATTATGATACATCTACTAAGATCTCCAAAATAAATCTTTTTTGGGGGGATGGGTACCAGGGATTGATGGAGCATTCAACCACTGAGCCACATCCCCAGCCCTATTTTGTATTTTAGTAGAGTCAGGGTCTCACTGAATTGCTTAGCACCTTGTTTTTTGCCAAAGCTGGCTTTGAACTCATGATCCTCCTGCCTCAGTCTCCCGAAAGGCTGGGATTACAGATGTGTACCACCATGCCCAGCTTCCAGAATAAATCTTAAGCAAAAAAAGTTAGGGTGCTGCAGAGTATGTAAAGACTAGCATCTCATATATTTTGAATAATATATATTATACTGAATTACATGATATATATTCATCAAGTTTATATGAAAAGTCTTGACACTAATAACATTTAATACCTGTCAGTAGAACTTTGCTAAGACAGAAGGAGAGTTGGAGGAAGACTTCTCTGTGTACCATTTTATGCTTTGGAAAGTTTTTTAATTTTAACCTCTCACATGCTAGTCAAGTGCTCTACCACTGAGCTATGTCCTCAGCCCTGCATCTTATTAGTACTGGGAACTAAATCTAGGACCTCATGCTCTAACATGGTACCATGTTATAACTTCAGACTCTGAATATTGTAATATGGAAATGCATTACCTAGTCAAAGAATTCTATTTCCAGCTAGGTACAGTGATGCATACCTACAGTATCAGCTTCTTGGGAGGCAGAATCAGGAGGATTATAAATTAGAGGCCTGGGCAACATAGTGAGACCCTGTCTCATAATAAAAATGAAAAGGGTTAGGGATGTAGCTCAGTGGTAGAGCACTTGCCTAGCATGTGTGAGGTCCTGGCTTTGATACCCAATTCTGCCAAAAACGAATTACATTTTAAATTTTTATTTTAAAATTGGGAAAAGCCCATTAAGATTTAAGTTGTTTTTATTTTTCTGTCAAGGTGATCATTTTCTTCTTCTAGGCACACTGAGGGGGCACCTGAGGCTCACTAATCACAGTTCTTAAGAACTACCACTATTTACCCAAGATAAATCCAATCTTACTATTTACTGAGTGGCCAATGTACAATAAAAGATTTTCCCTACAGATTCATGAGAACACCCTCTATAATGTCCTCGTTTCTATAATACATTAAATACTTTTCTCTAAGTTCCTAAATGTACTTTTGGAATCATCAAATAAACTGTGTTTAGCTGGTGAGATATATATACACGCACACGCACTTGCACTCCATTGTGGCATATATAAATTACTTAAAAAGAAATGTTTGCAGGTGCAGTGGTACACATCTGTAATCCAGTGATTTGGGAGGCTGAAGCAGGTGATCACAAGTTCAAAGCCAGCCTCAGCAACTTAAAAAGACCCTGTCTCAAAATAAAACAAAACGGACTGGGAATGTAGCTCAGTAGTTAAGCATTCATGGATTTAATCCCTAGTACCTCCCCTCAAAAAAGAAATTTCTGTTATATGGCTAATCAATTACTGTTTTCACCCATTTTTTTGTGTAAAATACACATAACATAAAATTTACCATCTTAGCTGGGTGCAATGGTAAACACCTGTAATCCCAGCTACTCAGAGGATCACAAGTTTGAGGCCAGCCTAAACAACTTAGCAAGACCCCGTCTCAAAATTAAAAACAGAAAGAGCTGGGGATATAGTTCAATGGTTAAGTACTCCTGGATTCAATTCCAGGTACCAAAAAATTTTTTTAATATCTTACATATATATATATATATGTAATTTTTGTAGTTGTAGATGAACAGCATGCCTTTATTTATTTGAAAAAATTTTTTGGTTGTTCATGGACCTTTATTTTATTTACTTGTTTATATGCAGTGCTGAGAATCAAACCCAGTGCCTCACACGTGCTTGGTAAGTGCTCTACCACTGAGTCACAACCCCAGCCCAGCATGCATGTATTTTGTGTTTCTTTTTATGTGGTGCTAAGGATCGAACCCAGTGCCTCAGACATGCTAGGCAAGCGCTCTGCCACTGAGCTACGGCCCCAGCCTCTATCTTAATCATTTTTAAGTACACAATTTGGTACTGTTAAGCTCATTCACATTGTTGTGCAACCAACACGACCATCCATTTCTGGAACTTTTTCACCTTGTGAAACTAAAACTCTACACCCATTAAACAACCGCTTTTCTACTTTGTCTCTAGAATTTGATCACTTTAGGTACCTCATATCAGTGGAATTATAAATCTTTTGTCTTTTTTTTTTTAAGGTGCTAGGGATCAAATCCAGGACCTTATCACCAAGTTTCACTCCCAGCTCTGACCTAGTGACTGACTTATTTCATTAAGCTTATTATTAGTATTATTTGGTATTATTTGGAGGCTGCTGGGATTTGCACACCTAGGGTGTTCCTCGGCCCTTTTTATTTTATACTTTGAGACAGGGTCTCACTAAGTTGCTGAGGCTGGCCTCAAATATGCCAATTTTCCTGCCTCAGCCTCACCAATTACTGGAATTAGAGGCATGAGCTACTGTTGGACCTAGCAGGAGTTAATTATTTATAAAAATATCTAAAATTTTTAGAAATTTCCATTCAAAATATTGTGCCATTAAAAAAACCCACTTCTAGGCCAGTATGGTGATAGGTACCTATTGTCACAGCTGTTCATGAGGCTGAAGTAGGAGCATCACTTGAACCCAGGAGTCTTGAGGTCCCCTGTACAACACAGCAAGCCCTTACCTCAAAACAAACAGAAACCCCACTTTTGCCTATAACTAGAAATTTTAAAAGGAAACTATATTAGAGCATTCTTATACAAGTAATCCATAGGAGGATTCTAAATGAATATTATTAGATTATAATTAAAATATGCAGTCAGGCTGGGTGTGATGGTGCAGGCTGTAATCACAGAGGCTGTGAAGGCTGAGACAGGAGGATCACAGTTTGAGGTCAGCCTCAGCAACTTATTAAGGCCCTAAACAATTTAGCAAGATTCTGTCTTAAAAAATAAAAAGTCTGGGGATGTAGCTCCATGGCAAAGTACCACTGGGTTCAACCCCTAGTATCAAAAAAGGAAGAAATCGGGGGTATAGTATAGTGGGAGAGCACTTTCCTAGCAGGTAAGAGGCCCTGGGTCTGATCCCCAGCTGTAAAAAATTAAATAAAGTAGGCAATGAAATCAGATTTTAAATCCTTGGGGAAAAGGGAAACTCAATCTGTGGGCATCCACATCTACATGGTAGGATATTATAACACATTAAATGTGTTAACCTTTTCTGATAGCTATTTCCTAATGAGGTCACAAAGTATCCTTAAGTACAAGGAGTAGAATTTTTAATGTCCATTTCTATGGGAATTTTACTTTCTTTTTCTTTTTTTCTTTTTTGGAAGGGGTACTGGGGATTGAACCCAGTACTGTTAAGCTCATTCACATTGTTGTGCAACCAACACAACCATCATTTCTGGAACTTTTTCATCTTGTAAAACTAAAACTCTATACCCATTAAACAACTTCCCATCCCCAGCCCCAGCCCCTAGCAACCCAACTTAAAAGAAAAAAAAAAAAAACCAACTTATTAAAAAACAAACAAAAAAAAAAAAACCAAGCTTGTTTGGAATAGCAAATTATTTAATTATTTAAGGCTTACAATTCTGGCAATAAATAACTTTATTCTCCAAAGTTAGAAAACTGTCCCCAACACTGAAACAGGTGTACTTGGCACAGGCAGTCTATGATCTGAGATGGGTCAGGACTCCACATTGAAGTTTCCAAAACGAGATTTAGACTAAGTACTGTTGCTTTTATAAAGTTGGCAGCTAAATCTGTAGAAACATTGGTCAGTTCTGGAAAGAAAAAAACAATTTTTATTTGAGGTGATATTTATAAACATGACAATCTGGAATGAACAAGGAAATTGTTCATTCCAGATTGTCTCACTCTCTACCAGTAGAGTTTTAAATAGTGAAGTAGAGGATAGATTATCTAGATCCTATAGATTATATATTATATAGATTATAGCTTAAATGAGACGTGACAGATTGTCTAACAAGTATAATTTGGAAGGAAAACTTGTCATATATTCATTATACACCCATTTTACATCCATTTAAGCTCCTCTATTTGAGTGACTTTGGAAAAATTACCTAACCTGCTAATATCAAAGCTTGAAAAGGCGGTAACTGTGGTGCCTAACTCTTAATTGTAGTGATGATAAAATGCCCATAGATCACTTAGTATCATGTGTAGTGTATTATAAACAACCAACAGTTATTATTTTTAAATGCTTCATGTGTGTGTGTTGACTAAAAAAATAACAATTGGGGATACAAAGATGAATAAGATTCTCATGGTCTACTAGAGAAAATACCATTACTATCTAAGAGGTAATGAGTCACCTGAGGAACAAGATAAGGTTTTTTTTTAAGAGTAACCCAAGAAAAATAGAGCAATCTTTCATTATTGTAGATTAGGGTTTCTCAGCTTCATGCCAAGCAGGTTTTGGCCAGGTAAGTTGTGGAGTATTCTGTGCACTGATGTTTGCCAGCACCTCTATTCAATAGATACTGGTGGCACCCCTCCCCACCCCAAGGTTTTGTTTCACTGTGGACCTTCAATATGAGCCTCAAAGACCAAGTTGGGGGCTGGAGATGTAGCTAGCGGTGGAGTGCTTGCCTAGCATGTGCAGAGCCCTGGATTTGACTCAAAGAACTACAGGGAGAAAAAAAAAAAAATGACGACAAGCTGGGGCATCAGTTTCAAGCTAAGCATTCTCAGGGCCTGCCTTTCAAGATCCTAGGATCTGGGCAGCCCTGTATCTGAGGGACTCTTATGATGGCAGGTACCAGGCATAAAAGGTGGTCTCTAAATCTGGGGGTCAGAGTCTCGGCAATTCACCTTTTCTCAGGCCAGCAAACCAAGCTAGAAAAATGGAGGGCCCAGATCTGGGTGTCACTGAGGCAGAACGAAAAAGCACCAGTGTTGGTGAGAGGTCTAATCCTCCAGGTCCTGTCTCCCTTGAGCCAGTTATTCTTGGCTGGTGAATGCCTCCAAATGATACAATCAGAATAGCCATATAACACTCCCAATTTTGCTTTTTGGTTCACAAAGTCTGAAATACTTATAAGCTTGGCCTTTATAGGAAAAAAAAATCTATGGATCCCCATTTTAGGTAAGTACTTACTTGACCACCAACATATAGAAACGTGTTATAGACTTGGTGTTTATTCACATAATGTCATCTCTAAAGAAAAAAATATTATGTACAAAAAAATAAACACCTGAAAGTGTTCTTCAAGATGAATCCCATGGATCTCACACTTGGGCTAGAAACTACTGTTAGTACCAAAGAGGTCTGTTTTCAGCCAATAAATGTAAGAGAGAGACTTTAGCAATCTCTCTTATTCGTCTGTTGCCATTACTTTACAATGTAGGCCACAAGAAGAAGTGAAATTATGAATTGAACCCTGCTTAAAAAGCCTTCAAAGGCTTCCCAAATACTTATGAGATTAATAATATTCTCTGGAAAGACGCTTTACCATCCAGCCCCATTTTATCTCCTTAACTTCACCTTCAGACACTCCATAGTCATTTCTCTCTCTCCACCTCCTGTCTCACTCATCCTGAACTAGAGTCAGGCTATTCTTTCCTAGATGTGTTCCCAACAGACTATATACACCTGTGCCTTTTTCCTGATGCTTTTCCCTTCTCAAGGAATGTTCTTGCTCATCTTCATCCAATGAACTTCAAGATTTTCAGACATTCTCCACTCAGCTGTGCTTGTATTCTCAAAGCACTGTATCTGTCTCCCTTGATAGATCATGAGTGCTTGTATGTAGCTCTGAATCCCTAGAGCCTAAATAAATGCCTCATCAATGAATTAATTACTTCAAGGGCCCTGCATGACTCTTTCTGTCAAAAAGATAATTCTTTCATTGTTCTGCAAAGGAGCCTACCCCCTCCTCCTTCCACAGCTATAATACTGGTTAGTTATTTCTTTGATTCTGAGAACAAAGACCACAAAGCTTTCCCATAGCAAGATCTGCATTCTTTCATCCTTGTTTATCTTGTTCCTGTCACTTAGTAAGTGTTCAAGTCTCTAAGACTTGCATGAAGAATTACTTCAATCATATAAATTATTTGAAAGACTAACGTTTTTGAACAGGAGAGTGCCCTCTTCCAGTAACACTAAGACTAAGTCCTTTCCTTCTGGGATTGTGGTTTACTTCTTTTTTTTAATTTGCACTGCTGGGGATTGAACCCAGGTACTCCCACATAGTAAGCAAGCTTCTACCATTGACCTCTATCTGTTTTGGCGAGTACAGGATCTTGCCAAGTTGCCCAAGTTGGTCTCAAACTTGTGATCCTCCCGCCTCAGCCTCCTAAGTAGCTTGGATAGCAGGTTTGTGGTTTTGTTTTAGTTTTTGTGGTGCTGGGGATTGAGCCCAGGGCTTTAAGTATGCTAGACAAACATTCTACCACTGAGCTACATCCCTAGCCACCTTCCACCTTTTTTTTTTTTTGATTAGATAAATATAGGTCTCTGATTGTATTCATGTTATAATCCAAGTATTCAAATTATACAAAACTAGCCAAACAAAAATAGCCAAAATGCTTTTCCTCTAAAGATCACCTACAGAATATATATATATCTTATATGTACATTCTCTTAAAGGGGAATTGGAAAAAAATTTAAGGAAATAAGGAGTATGACTTCCACCTCATATTCAGTTGTTTTCCTTACTGGAATGAAATCAATAATATGAACTAAGGAGGAACATCTTCCTGAATGATATGTTTAGCATGTCTGTAGGTTTAGACAACAAGGATCACACGTTTCTGCTCTGCCCTATACCCTAGAGCAGTTAACTTTTGCAAGAAAGTGGAGACAGAAAGACAGGAGACTCAAGCAGAGTATACCATTATGAAACACTTAATCCAAAGGGAAGGAAAGTCACCAATTCTAACCTTCACAGGCTCTTCCTACCTTTCTAATTGATAAGGGGTTGGGAAGGTAAATGGAATTTGACTTCAACAACCTTACCCATAAATTCACTAAGCAAGGTAGCAACAAGGATTGAGTTTAGTAGAAAGCTCATGTGATAGTACAAACTGCCAAGTGTTTTCCAAACTTCAGAATATGTGAAGTTTCCCTTGTACAATTAACTCTTACCTTTAAAATGATTCATGTTAAATAGTTTTTACTTAAATAAATGTATTTCAAAAAGCATCCATTCCTGTTGTAAACAGAAATCCAGTACCACTTAGATGTTTGTGAGCATAATTACTAAATTCTAGCTGTATGCAGTTTTTGCCCACGGAAGCATTACTGAGGTGTTAAAAGAGCATTACACCCAAACTTAGTAAGCGTCCCTGTTAAAAGCAAAAGGACTGAAAAAATTAACTTCCCTACTCTAGGATTCAACGTCATTTAATGTATCCTGTACCACCTTAAACCTTCTTGTTCCAGAAACCTTGCAGAACCGAAATCTCCCACCCACCGCCAGACCCTATTGCTCCCAAAAGAATGTAACTGGTACTCTCTCTAAGCCTAAAAGAAGGAAGTGATTTCCTTATCTGGTTGAGTGGGCAAAACCACTCAGAACACTAGTGCTGGCTTCAATCCCAGTACCCAAAGTGTGTGTGTGTGGGGGGGGAGAACAATAACAACAACAAAAATACTATCAATATTCAAAATGACTAACCCATGAAGGTCAAAAGCACTTCACTTCCACTAACTTTGTTAAGAGACAACCTGGTCCAAAGGCACTTACTTGGCAGAGGCCTGTGCAGCCAGTCAAATGGCTGAGGTCTGGTCCCTACTAAAAAGGGTGACTTTTCTTTGCTGCCCCCAGAGCTAAATTGCTGTCAGTGGAGAGAGACTGCCGGGACTCCGTGGCTGGATCTGTGCTGCGAGTCGAGGGAGACTGCTGGGACTCCGTGGCTGGATCTGTGCTAGGAGTCGGGAGAGACTGCCGGGACTCTGTGGCTGGACCTGCGCTGTGAGTCGGGAGAGACTGCTTGGACTCAGCGGCTGGACCTGCAGCCTCAGGAACAGGTGACATAGTGTCAGGGAACTCCTGAGACAGTTTCTGGGGTAGTTGCAGACTTTCAAAAACCTGAGCCACTATCTTCTTAGAAATCTCCATGAGAGCTGAAGACTGACTTGCAGAAATCGGGACTACCGTGCTGGAGAACTGGTGCGAGCGATAAACGATCACAAAGTCCTCGATACTCGGACGCGACTGTAGGTCCGCGTTCTGAAAAGACTGGGTAGACGCAAGTGGCATTTCAGAGGCCCGGGGTGTCAGAGTCTGGCTTCCAGAATCCTCAACACTGAAAGGCCGAGTTTGACGGGACGGAGGGAGATCCTGGCTCTGAGAGGCCACAGGTACCAGAAGGTGGCTTTCAGCAGCCACCGGGACCTGGAAGGGGCCCTGAGAGAACCCAGGCACCGGTGGATGGCTCTTGGCGACCACAGGGGCTCCTGGCTGGCTCGTCAAGGGGAGGGCATCTGGAGGCTGGCCTCCAGAGGTCAAGGAAACGACGAACTCGCTCTTAGAAGCAGGAAGGGCGCAAGGCAGAAGAGTCGAGACCAAGGAAACCACAGGCTGGCTCCTGGAGGGCAGGACGGGAAAAGGCGGCCGCAGTTCTATGGATTCCACGGGGAACACAGGCCGCTCCAGATGGGTCCTCCCCGCAGCTGGAAGCCCCGAGGAGCCAGCTGCCTCGGGACTTCCGTCACCTTCAGGCAAGGGGCCCAGATCCCCTTGGCTGACGTCCGCGACGCGCAGCCGCCACTCTGGGTCCTTCCTCCCCCAGGCCGGCGAGCCGGGGACCACCAACATCTGGGAGCCACTCCTCAAGTTCAACCTGGGCCAGCGCCCCCTCCGGCGCCGCCGCAGCAGCTCCAGGGCCTGGGAGAAGCTCTCGAAGGTCTGGGAGAAGCGGATGCTGACGCTCCGGCGCAACGATTCCACCACGGAGCCCGACCCGGACCGCGCGGCCTTGGGCACGGGGTCCTCGGAGGCCAGTTCGATGTTGCCGGTGTACCAGGAGACCCACCAGAGGAGACTGAAGAAGATGATGATGGAGCCCAGGTAGAGCAGCATGTCGTAGAAGAGCAGGTCGGCGAAGACGCCGGTGAAGAGCACCGCCACGCCCACGGTGTCGAAGAGGACGCCCAGCCAGAAGAAATGCCGGCAACGGCCCAGGCCCGACCGCTTCCCCGTCATCCCGACGGTGTTACTCGGAAACTCTCGACGGGTTCCCACGGTCGCCGCCGCGACGTCCGCAAAAGTTACACCAGGCGGGCCAGCGGCGCCGCCACGGGCCGGCTTTGGCCGCTAGATCCCCATGGCAACGCAAGGGGCGGGGCGAGAGGGGGAAGTGAGGTTGCCCCGGCCCGAGAACGGAAAGCTGGACCCGGCGATGTGCGCTTGCGCAGTACGCACCACCACCCGCCTTCTGCGCCTGCGCAGCGCTCCAGTGTGCGGCTGGATGCGTGCTAGGGGGAGCTCCGCCAGCCACCCTTGGGCGCTGAGTGTGTTGAAATTATTTCTCCACACCCTCCACCGGCCGTCGGGAAGGAATCTAGCTGCATTCTTTCCCCCAGGACCTCACCTTCCTGAGCTAGGGTGGGGTCTTGAAGGACGGCAAAGGATAAGGACTCTCCCCACCAGCTTGGCCCCAGGTGCAGCCACTGGCCGAAAAGAGTGTTTTTCCTTTGTTGTAGCGGAGAGGGGACTTAATTAGGGTCTGTGGTTAGGCAGATCTTGATTCCCATCTTATCTCTCTGCCCCAAAGCGGTGACTAAAGACATACCTGCGCCGGGTAGTGGCAGACCGCCGGGTGGATTCTTTATTTGCCGATCCGAGTTCGTTTACGTTTATCTACAGACCCTCGGTACTTGGACTCCAGTGTGGGACTACTTTTAAATTGAAAGTGGATGTTCAGATGGGCACAGTGGTGCACACCTGTCATCCCAGCGTCTACGGAGGCTAAGACAGGAGGATGGCGGGTTCAAAGCCAGCCTCAGCAAAAGCGAGGTGCTAAGCAACTCAGTGAGATCCTGTCTCTAAATAAAACACAAAATAGGGCTGGGGATGGGACTCAGTGGTCGAGTGCCCTTGAGTTCAGTCCGCAGTACCCATCCCCTGCAAGAAATAGGAAAACTGACCCCGCATGGTGCTGTGACACATGCCTGTAATCCCAGTGTCAAGAGGATCACAGGTTCAAAGTCAGCCTCGGCAACTTAGCAAGACCTTGTGTGTTAGAAATACCGGGGAGGGCTGGGGATGTGACTCAAGCGGTAGAGCGCTGGCCTGGCATGCCTGTGGCCCGGGTTCTATCCTCAGCACCACATACAAACAAAGATGTTGCGTCCGCCGAAAACTAAAAAATAAATATTAAAATTTTCTCTCTCTTTAAAAAAAAATACTGGGGAGCTGTGACAAGACAATTTTTTCTTCTGTAGTCGGGTGTGCTACCATTTTTTTACATATTAGGAAACTCAGACACAGATTTAACTTTGTCAGAAAAGAAAATGTCTCAAAAGATATAAAGGTCTGGAGAGGTAGATGGACACAATACATTTATTTATTTATTTTTATATGGTGCTGAGGATCCAACCCAGTGCCTCCCATGTGCTAGACTAGCTCTCTACCATTGAACCACAACGTCAGCCCAAGGCCACAGTATTTTTGTCCATCTGAGTTTGGTTGCTGCCCTCCTTAGAAGTCCTTTGTTCTGGAGGGCCCAGGTGAGCTTGAAGATTGGGGTTGCAGGTAATAAAACACTAACAGCAGCTGCAGTGACACCGCCACCTCAGTGCTCTCCGCCTGCTCAGTGAATCCATCTGTGCAAAACGCCTTCCCTCTGCCATCACCCCTCATCCCCAGTCCAAATGCTCTCTCTTGGCACCAGAATCTGGGGGATCTCCCAGTTCCATTCCATAGCCAGGATAGACAGCCAGAAAGGACACTCTGCTGCTTGGCCACACATCTGCGCCCCCACCCTCACTCTGCCCAGGGAGTGTCCAGGAGGAGCCACAGGGAGTGTCCAGGGAGGTCAGTTCTGACTTGGTTCCCCCTCTGCCTGCCAAGCCATCCCCTACCACCACCCTTTAGTGGGTCCTCTGCCTTTTAGCCCAAAAAGGGCTGCTGCTGATTCTGTGTCCCAGCCTATCTATCCCCATTCAGGACACAGACACATCCATCCCTTCCAATGGAATCTTTCTCCGTTTTTTTTTTTTTGTTTTGTTTTGTTTTTTACTTCTCCCCTGCATCCTACCACCCTCCCGGTGGACCCCTGATCTACGTTTCACACATTTTATGACATAGAACCTTCCAGATGGTTATATTGTTTTCTGGATTCTGTAAATCAGTGTGCTCATCTTGAGATGATCACATTGCCCTTCTAGACCATGGCCCTTGCTGCCTTCACCATCAAGGACTCTACCTTCTTAAATAGATGGACACCGAAGACACACTCTGCCACTGTCATCTATTTCCAGATAATGGCACCCCTCCTGGCTCTCCGGCAGTTCACATCATTTTTTCGTTGAGTTAAAGGTTGCCAGCACAGAGATTTGCCTTTGCCCTTATTCTGCATCTTTAAAGTAAGTGGCACCAAAAAAATAAAAATAAAAATAAAAAAGTAAGTGGCAGGGGTTAGTTATACTTTTGAATCATGGCAATGTCCCATAGCAAACTTCAGGACTAAGGCACCGTGTCTTGAAAGATTTCTCAGCATGATTGCCCATGTCATGGCACCAGGCTTTCACTGAGAATCAGGTCTCCCCGCAGCAGTGACAGACAGTCACGATGCCCTGCTCACCCTCCTTGCTTGAGTTGGGATGTGTCGGTGAACCTGGTGCCGGCACATTGCAGTGAAATGGGTGTTCACCAGCTCAGGTGTCAAGCAGATGCTATTGCATATCAAATGACTTGTTTCCTGGTGAGCAGAAATACAGAGCTGAGAGGAAAGGCTTGAAGTGGCAGAGGACCTGCCAGCAACTTAGGTTGACTTGTGTTTCTCCCCCCAATGGGAGGCTTCGATTATGTCTGCAGGTCTGTGCATTTACAGGAAAGCTGGAGGAGGGACCTTCCAGTTATGGCCTTAGAATTCATGCTTGGTGGGAAGGTAATACTTTTTTTTTTTTTTTGGTACTGGGGATTGAACTCAGGAGCACTCAACCACTGAACCACATCCCCAGCCCTTTTTTGTATTTTATTTAGAGACAAGGTCTCACTGACTTGCTTAGGGACTCACTAAGTTGCTGAGGCTCGCTTTCAACTCTTGATCCTCCTGCCTCAGCCTCCCAAGCTGCTGAGATTACAGGTTCCAAATTGCTTGGATTACAGGTGTGTGTCACCACGCCTGCCGGGTAATACATTAATTTTCAGGGGCCGTTGGGTCATTTGTATTTGTTTCCCATCCCAGGAAGCTGAAAATGAAGGAACATAAGTAGATGGAATCCCCAAAGCAACTGTCAGTGGCAGAGCAGAAACTGGGGTTGACTACTAAGGAAATAGGGAGCTATGAGTGTGTTCAGAGACTGAACACCAGCCTCATGGGAAACCCCTGACACAAGTTTTCTGGTAAACCTTTGTGCAGACTTTAGACCCAATTATGGAAGATATGGGAACAAAAGTTTGGAGGAAATATATACAGAGAGAGAATTCGCACAAGACTAGACAACCTTCATTTATGTTTACAAATCTGAAAGTTACTGCACTTTTCTTGATCATTGTGGTGGGCACACTGGGAGGAGCCTCGGATCACAAACATTTCTGGGAACCCTGCAAACAGTGACCATGATTAGGAGAGCTGTTTAGTGGAAGATGAATCACATGCACAAAAAGGAGGGTGCTGTTTTTATATTTTTTATGTACAGTGCTGTTTTTATATTTTTTATGTACGGATAAAGTGTCAGTTGTGAGGATAAGGGGACCATGGGAAGATGCTTTAAAATGGTGTCAAGGATCCGTGTGCAGAGTTGCTAAGGGTGAAACTTTCCATTGACTTTGCTCTCTTCTGGCCAGGGCGCGGGAGGGTGCGGGTCGTGGGCGGAGAAAAGCTAGTGGCTAGGGCGACACGGAGCCAGGAGGGCCAGGTCGGTCAGTCCGTAAACTATAGCCAGTCCGTCCTCCTCCCCGCGACGTGAGCCACCCTCTGGGCCGCCATCCTAATGTTGTCGCAGCCGGCGGGCCTGCCCACGGTCCATCCATCCCCTGCCACCGAGTCCGGCCTCCAAAAAAGCCGAAAGAATTATATTAGGAGTTATAGCCCGTAATCTCCTCCTTGCTCCTAGCCCTCAATGACGAAAAGGACACATTGGCGACTGGCAGCCCATCCCGCTGCCGCGGAGACCCGAAACCATCCGGAGCCCAATTCTGCCCATCTTACATCTGCAACCACTTCCCTTGGCCTGTGCACGTGCCCTGCACTGATTCTCTGCCTAGGAAAGGACCATGCAGCTAGAGATTAAAGTGGCCCGGACTTCATCATTTCCTATTTATACAACAAGCTGCCCCCTGCACCGGGCAGACCTGTTTGGAGACTTTTGAAAAAGAAATCTGAAGGTCACTGGTACCCCGATAAACCACTCAAGGACTCTGGCTTCCCCTGCGTCCACATTAGGGAGACGGTGGACCTGGGGTAGAGCTGGCTGCCAAGCGGAGCCGGCTGGCAGTGGAGGATGTGCGGGCCAACCTGCCTGAGGAACTCAGTGTCTGGATTGACCCTTTCAAGGTGTCCTACCAGATTGGTGAGAAGGGGGCTGTGAAAGTGCTGTACCTGGATGACAGTGAGGGCAGTGGTGCCCCAGAGCTGGACAAGGAGATCAAGAGCAGCTTCAACCCTGATGCTCAGGTATTTGTGCCCATTGGCAGCCAGGACAGCTCTCTGTCCAATTCCCCCTCGCCGTCCTTCAGCCAGTCACCCAGCCCTACTTTCATCCCTCACTGCCCAGCCCATCACTTTCACCATTGCCTCTTTCGCTGCCACCAAATTTGGCTCTACAAAGATGAAGAAGGGTGGAGGGGCATCTAGTGTTGGGGGCGTGGCCAGCAGTGGAGCAAGTGGCCAGCAGCCACCACAGCAACAGCCTCGCATGGTCTCTCACCCACCAACAACCTGCTGAAGCACAAGAGCCTCTCTTTGTCTATGCATTCACTGAACTTCATCACAGCCACCTCGGCCCCTCAGTCCCAGCTCTCACCCAATGCCAAGGAGTTCGTGTACAATGGTGGTGGCTCACCCAGCCTCTTCTTTGATGCGGCTGATGGCCAGGGCAGTGGCACCTCAGCACCCTTTGCAGATGGTAACAGCAGCAGCTTCCATATGGCCCAGGTATTTGGAGGTGGCACCAACAGCCTTTTCCTGGAGAAGACACCCTTTGTGGAAG